GCTGACCCAATCCTCTCTGAAATACATTTTTAGCTTTTCAGGTATATTCTTTCTTACAAATAGTAGAAAGAAATTCTCTGTTTTCTGGTACAGCAGCAACCTCGTCGTGTATACGTGTTTTAATTTTTGGTATAATTCTCATCATGTAATTTTTACTCGTTTCTACATTTGGCATCTTGTATGATAATGCCACGACTCAAACGAAAAAAGCCTAGGCAATACCTAGGCAGTGGATATAAATGTGTTCTGAGGTAGTTGCTATATGTTACGGTCCGTAATAAGAATATTTGGATTTTGGATACATATTAATATTTTATTATCTAATCTAGTTTAAATCTTATTTAACTCTTCTCTGCTGTTTCACTAATTTTTAGTAAAATTTAAAACAATAACTTAGCTTTAACTTTTAGTTCTCAGACTTGGCTTCTAGTCTGTCCCCAATTCAAACCAAGCATAGAGATAGCCATCTTCATGTTTTCTTTTTCTGTCAACCGCAGAGTTCGCGTCAAATTCGCCTACCTCTCAGAGGAGCTCGAAAAGTATTGCACCGAGGCCCCAGTTGTCAAAGCTACGCTACCATATTTATAGTATACACTATCGAGACTATTTAGATGAAATTCACTTTTTTCTGCTGTACGCCCGCCGGAGTCTTTATTAGTTATTAATAAAAGAATAGTGGTAAAACTATACAGAATGAGTCATAGTTAAATAAGTGCAAATATTTTCAGGGGTGGTATATTTCGACCCCAGGAACACATCTATGAAATTTTTGCAAAAAAAAAATGTTTCACCGCAAATGTTCCCACGGTATATTTTCTTAATCTTTGATATTACGACACAAGAAGAGATGGAAGTACAGAAAAATTTCGGTGAATTTTTTTTTTAATTTCAAACTTTAATAACTCGGTTATTTTGGACTTATTTGAAACAAGGTAAAGAGAATATGCACAAAGCAGCACAAATTAAGTGAATTTATAGACTCACCTTGTATAATAAAACATTTCAAACGGAACAACAGACAGATGTTTATTAAAATTACTAGCGTGTACCACCGACTTCGTTCGCGTCGAATTAATCATTTGTAATGGTGATGATAAAGCAAAGCAAGAATTTCCATTAACATACAAACTGGATAAAATTTTCAGTCAGCATGAGAAAAAACAATATGGCGATATTATTATATAACTTGGTAATATTTGAGGGGTAGTTTCGTCTCGTTGGAATTTGACTTTCGAAAAACCCGTTTGCCAAAAATAAGCTTCTTACGTCAAGTAGTTTAAGCAGAATCGTGGTTAATTAATTACCCAACTTTTTGGAACACCCTGTATGATTTTTTAAAAAAATTCAAAATTTAAAAAAAAAAAAAATAAATTATGCTTGTTCAAGTGTTTTCCCGAAAGACGAACCGATTTTTAAATAACAAATATTGTAATATTTGAGGGGCGTTTTCACCCTCTTGGAATTTGAGATTCGAGAAACCCCTCCTTATCGAACCTCTACACCCCACAGTCACTCCGTTTACCAAAAATCAGCTTTAAATGTCAAGCAGTTTAAACAGAATCGTGATTACTCAATGGTCATATTTTATGAAACACCCTCTATAAATTTATAAAAAATCTTAAATTATGTAAAACAACAAAATAAAATATACGTGTTTAAGAGTTTTTCCGAAAAACTCACCGGTTTTTAAATAAAAAATATTTTGATATTTGAGGGATAGTTTCACCCCCTTAGAATTCGAGTTTAGAAAAATCCCTTCTTATCGAATCTCTACACCCTAAAGTCAATCTGTTTTTCAAAAATCAGCTTTTTACGTCAAGCGCTTTAAGCAGAATCGTGATTAATCAATGACCAGATTTTTCGAAACACCCTGTATACATTTTTAAAAAATCTTAAAATATGTAAAAAAACAAAATAAAATATACGTGTGTAAACGTTTTTTCGGAAACTTGACCGTTTTTAAATAAAAAGATATTGTAATATTTGAGGGGTGGTTTCACCCTCTTGGAACTGGAATTTCGGAAAATCCCTTCTTATCGAACCTCTACACCCTAGAATCAACCTGTATGCCAAAATTGAGCTTCTTACGTTGAGTGGTTTGAGCAGGATCGTGATTAATCAGTATGTCAGTCACTTAAGGATTTTATATATTAGTATAGATAAGTGTCTCAGAGAAAGACATCTAACAATAGTTATTTTACAAATTGGTGTTTATGTTTAAAAGCAACTGACGATTATATTGATCTAATTGATTAGTTAGTTAGGCAGTCACTAAGAATCTTACGTAACTTTAGTTAGAAGATTAACCATTTAGTTTTTGCAAAATCAATTTTTTTTTGAGCTCTGATCGGGACCGGCCCACCGGCCCCTCTTCCTACCGGCCCACCGGGAATTTTCCCGTTTTCCCATATGGCCCATCCACCCCTGTTGGTGTTTGACCATCAAAATCTTAAAAATATAGAAGTTGTTTAAAAACGTGCTACAATACGGATATAGTATAATCCTTTATCTTTAATTTCCTTCTTCATTTGTGTAAAAATACCTAGCCAGTTTTACATAAAACGTTAACTTTTTATATTTTCAGAGAAAAAAAATCAGATTTGGTATGATAGTATATGACATAAATTAGGATTGATTGACGTATTCATTTCTTTTCGGCCATTTCCTTCTTCACCGGAAATGACTACAACCAAAAGATATTCTTTGCTACAACTTTTGAATTTTAAAGGCACCCTCGGTATTTTTTGACTTTATTCCTTTATTCGATAGAAAATAACGCTCTGAATAGAATGACATATCATATGGCAACTTTTGACATTTTTTGCTTAAAAACAAATCGCATTTTAAATTTCAATCTAAAGTGCCATGGCTGTGTCAAAAACACTAATTTTTAATCAAGGAGCCTTGGAAAAATAGTTTTGATCGTCTAATATTTTTCCGCCTCCGGTTAAAAGTTTTGGCCGCCGGTTAAAAGATGCCCAAATCGTATTTTTAATCATATCTCAATTTTTTCAAATAGAACATGGTGGCTCATTAGCATATTTTTAGAAAGCATTTTTTCAGAAGTAATTTGGTACTACACACTTCGGTATTTCGAGTCAAGTTGTCGTTATGAACCGCATGTTACAATTTCAAATAAACGATATGCGAATATGTCAAAAGTTGACATATGATATGTGATTGGTTTGGTTTAGTTGTCATTTGTCATTTTTCAGAAATGTCAGAATGTCATTTTCTATCGAATAAAACCGAGGTTGTCATTTTAAAACCAAAAGTTGTATTCATATGCGGTGAAACTGGAAGTGACCAAAAATAAGTGAATACGTCAATCAATCCTAATTTATGTCATATACTAACATATCAAATTTCGTTTTTTTTTATTTGAAAAAATAAAAAAGTTATAGGGGGTGAGCCACTTTTGAGACGCACCGGGCATAGGAAACATCCTGTATGATTATTAAACGTTAATTGTACAATTTATTCAAATTTTATGTCATTCAAAAAACATCCAAACCAGTCAAAAAATCATTTAAGTATACAATAATTTAAAAAAAGTGTACAATTTTTTAAAATTTGATGTAAACACTGATTAACTTAATAAATTGAGTTTTACTGCAAAAATTGCATTTTGATTGCGTAATATAAATTTAAATATACTAATACGACGATAATCTATCGATATACTATAATTAAAAGAATCAATAATTAATTTGATAATTTATTCCAATTATAGTGTTTTCCTTGTTTAATTTCTCAGGCAGGATAAAATTTACCGCGTCCCAAGATCAAGAAAACAGAACATAAAGGCGGTAAAAGCCGGTCCAATATTTCTTCACTGTTACCATCTAGCGTCGATATCTAATACTAGATTTTTCTTTGTTAAACTGCCTTCGTTTAGATGGCTCTTACAGACCTTAGAAAAGTAATCTACGAAAATTATTAATAGAGTTTTTACAGATTATAAGGATGGTGTCGCTAGTAATTCTACATCTATTATTTTAAAATTAACATTTAACGTTCTATATTTGCCAATAGTATATTTGTAGACATCTTTAGTTTAGAGAAAATATATAAGAATAGAGAATATATTTTTTATTATAAACATAAAATATTCTTTTATAAGTCCCGTGTACTTGTGAAACACTAATGACACACATCACAAGTACATGCAAGAGGTAGTAAAATGAGGTAGAAAAATTTAATGTCAAACTTAGTGAGGATTAATTATTTCTTTGCATTATTTTTTTTTCATTTGTTCTAATTGTGGGGAACGCAGATAAGTAAGAAACTTACGGAAAGTTTAATATCTTAAACCTGTTTTTATTTATTACCTAGTTTAAATAAAATTATACCGGCTGCGTCTGAAAAGTGGCTCACCCCTATAGCTTTTCTATTTCTTCAGATAAAAAAACGAGATTTGGTATGTTAGTATATGACATAAGGAGCCTTGGAAAAATAGATTTGATCGTCTAATATTTTAGTGTCTTGTCCAGGTTGGTTAAAAGATGACAAAATCGTATTTTATCGTATCTCAATTTTTTCAAATGGAACGAGGGTAGCTCATCAGCATATTTGGAAAAAGCATTTTTTACGAATATTTGGTACCACACACTTGGTATTTCGAGTCAAATTGTCGTTATGAATCGCATGTTGCAATTTCAAATAAACCATATTCGAAAATGTCAAAAGTTGACATATGATATGTCATTCTATTCAGAGTGTCATTTTCTATCGAATAAAGTAGAAAAATACCGAGGATACCATTTAAAAATCAAAAGTTGTAGTCATTTCCGCTGAAACAGGAAGTGGCCGAAAAGAATTGAATCCGTCAATCAATCCTAATTTATGTTATATACTAACATACCAAAACTCGTTTTTTTTATCTGAAGAAATAAAAAAGGTATAGGGGGTGAGCCACTTTTGAGACGCACCCGGAATGTTCATGGTATTTACTTGAGTTAAATAAAAAATGTCTAATTCAATAAATTAATTATTTCCAGATGTGAAACACGTCCAGGTCCAGAATACGTCATCAGATCTTACACCTTCGAAGAAAATGGAAATGCCTTCTTGGTGCAACACCATTATTCGGACGATTCCTGCAGTTCGCCTCAGTTAACTGTTCTCTCGTACGGGCGTTTGCAACTTCGAGACTCTTTCGTACAACCCCAAGCGGCATCTGGTACCTACAAAATCCAAAATATATCTGTTATTCCTCAAGATACCAACGCAGCGAAGGAGCTAGACAGAACTGTGTCTTTAGAATGTCCTGGTATGTATTTTAATTATATTTTTGCGGCTATAATCAAATAAGTTGATATTCAGAAGAGAGTGAGTGATCCTTTTATTCTTGTTCTCCTCATATGCTGTAAAAATGTGACCAGTGCATTCATCTTTTGAAGTCTGATGCATTTTTAAGTGCACACTTCACCTCTTCCATATAAATTGCACTATTTTAAGGAATATCTAGAATCCCATAGTAAAGTAACGTACGATAGAAAAAAAAACGGCGTCAAAGACGGCTGGGGAATCGATGATAATTTTGGCGAGGTCAATCTCTAGACGCCATTTATTATCAATTGACATAAAACTTGTCAAAAATTAACACTAACTATAAAAATATTAAAAAAGGGTATAACGTTTCTAGACACACAAGTCTATTTCCAAAAAGTGATTTTTTTTTCGAATTTTGAACTACATCATTTAAAAATAATTTTTACTCAATATAAAAATAAATTACAAACTTCTTAAGGTCAACTGGCAGTAAGCGTAATTAAAAAAATTAAGAAGGGTAAGGGCTCAGTAAATGGCGTCTATGGCTTGACCTCGCTAAAATTTTTATCGATTGTCATTCCCCAGCCAGCTTTGACGCCATTATTTTTCAATCATCTGATACTTATTATTCATTTTTGAATCTGTTTGCTTAATCCGCAAGCACATATCTGCTATTCCCGAAAGGCTATCTCAGAACTATCCACTTAGGAATGCGGAGCACGATCTTTATCTGCCAACCTCGAGCTCAGAACTAGTTAAAAGCTCAATACTGTACAATGCCAAAATATGTACAATCATCTGCCTTTGAATATGAAGTCGCTTTTATTCTTTCCCGCATTTCGCAAAGCTCTGAAATCATACTTACTGGAGGGAGTTCTATATGCCGTAAATGACTTTTTGTTGAAGTTTAATCATGAACAATTCTGAATTTTAAAATTTTGATCATCTCACACACTGGTTAAAAGTCTAGTATTTAATATTTTATAATTCTTAAATCATTATATCCATTTACAATTTTCCTGTTGTAAAATTTTATTGATACGCCTTTTTTGTGTTTACGCCTGCAATGTCCATGTGTGTTCTATTTGTAATTTTAATGACGTAATTTTTTTTGTATTGTGTGATATTTTTTATTATTTGTATATTTTTTGTGCTTTTGTTTGTTTTGTAAATGCTGTGTCGAAGAAGCTATTTTGGCGTTTTGTACAATAAAGCGTTATTTATTATTATTATTACTTTTAAAAAATAGCGTAATTAGAGCATAATTGATAGGAGCCAATTTATTTAAAATGTTAATATGGAAATATCTTTTTGAATTAGTCAACATTACTAATTTAATTATTTTCATCAAATCACTTTCCCAAATTATTTATCATCAAATTTACCATCTCAGTTTTATCAAACCTTTCAACAACTGAGTCAACTTTATTAAGCCTAAATTTACCAATTTAGACAAATCTTTCTTATATTTAATTCAGCACATTTCTTAACTCAACTATAAACTTATTGAACACCATTTTTTGAAGTCTAGTCATTTTCTTTCAATTTTTTTCTGTATTTTTTGAGCCCAAAAACTCCAAAATTTAGAATATTACCATAGTATTCTATCCTATCTGTGATATTACTTTTAGTGCATTATTAGCGACTTAATTACGATTTACTGATTATGGAAGCCACTGGGTTAGAACATTTATTAACAATTAAAAGAAATAAAAATTGAATCAAAGTTATTGTGATACATTTATTTTAGGACAATATTGGAAGTTGTGGAGAAAATACGAAGAACACATTGTATACGATGCTCGTTATGACGAAAAGAAAACTTTTAATCTATGGATGTCAACTGACAATAACAATCATCACGCAGCGAACAGTCGTGGAGGAAATGTACGTTTTAGCGATATCAACTGCTTGGGATCATTAAAGTGGGCATTTACTGAACTCAAATTACTCAAAGTTCAATTAAGACCACTGGCGGATCAAATTAAGAAGTATCCAAGACAAGTAAGTTTTCTAAGTCTTCAGTTTAACTTATTGGTGCCGAACATAGTTGAGGTTGGAAGTTTTGGTGTTAAACAATAAAATAAATCAGTTCACCACCAATACACGAAAACACTTAATTACATATACAGGGTGGCCCATCGAAAACGTTCCGCAAGGCATAACGGCCAGGGTATTTGTTTTTTCAAAAAATCCAAAAACACGTCAATTTTGTTTGTGAGGGGGACAACTTTTGCCCTAAAAATGATTGCAAAATCTTCAACCTTCTAAGCGAGGGTGTCATCCCCCAACTTTTTTCAAATGGGAAGGGGGGTCAAGTGGCGCCGCAATGAAACGGGCTTTCTATTCTCTATATTTCCCCGCTTCGTTTTTAAAAATCGGTCGAGTCATTTTGAAAATATGAAGGATTGGAATTTGAAAAGTATTTTTTGCAAAAAAAAACGCATAAATTGAATTGATTAAAAAAAAAATTGACCGGGGAGGCCACTCAACTGCACCCCTTCGTCCTATCCACCGACCGGGAAAGTTATTGTTTAAATAATTACGCACATTTTGAGAGTAATGTGGAGGCGCACCGTCTTATTGAAACATTAGTTCCGCTTCAACGTATCCAGGATTGTTCTCTATGATGTCAGTTAGGGCTGGGTCGATAGTATTTTCCAGTAAATCCAAGTACTTAAAACCTGTTAGATTTCCAGGAAGAAAAAAAGGACCCACAATAGAATTTTTAAAAATACCAGCCCACACGTTCAATTTCTGAGGGTTTTGGGTGTGCACCTCGTGAATAACCCTGGGGTTGTCCTGAGCCCAGTATCGACAGTTGTGCCGATTAACTACACTGTTCAAAAAGAAAATACACTCCTCCGAAAAACACACATTAAATAGGAAATTATTATCATTCGCCACTCGTTCACTCATAGTTTCATAAAATTGCAAACGACGATCAAAATCGTCTTCGTTGAGTTCTTGTACCAATTGAATTTTGTACGGGTGGAACTTGTGTTTTTTTAATATCCTTTGGACACTTGTACGATTCACGCCGGTCTCATTGGCTAATTTTCTTGTACTCAGCGTACTATCGATGGCAACTTCGCCCAATACGAATACCTCCATAGCTTCATTTACTACAGGATTTTCCCTCTGCCTCTTTTTATTCATAACGGAACCAGTTTCGCGAAATTTTGCTACTAACTCGTGAACAATTTTGCCATAAAGATGTTTGTCAGGATGGCGTTCATTGAATATCTGCGCAGCCTGATTGCCACATTCATTATTTTTAAAATAAAGTTCGATTATTTCCACTCTTTCTGCAAGTGAGAACACCATAATTGTTAAAAAGTTTAACGATATTGAAAAGAACTTCAACCGCTTCAACGCACAAGTCACAGAACAGCTATCTAGCAGTTGCTAGATAGCTGTTGCTGTTGTGCGGTAGTTACCGCACCTGATCGTTCAACCTTCTGGCAAGGGAAAAAATGCGTAAACATCTAGAAATAATAAGAAAAAACTGCAAATTGGTCGAAGGAATTTATCCTTATCGTTACTCCGATAAATGTTTAAATAAAATTTTAAAATTTCAATCCTTCATGTTTTCTCAATGACTCGACCGATTTTCAAAAACGAAGCGGGAAAGTATAGAGAATAGAAAGCTCTTTTCATTGCGTTAGCACTTGACCCCCCTCACATTTGAAAAAAATTGGGTGATGACACCCCCGCTTAGAGGGTTGAAGATTTTGCAATCATTTTTCGGGCAAAAGTTGTCCCCCTCACAAACAAAATTGACGTGTTTTTGAATTTTCTAAAAAAAATTACCCTGGCCGTTATGCCTTGCGGAACGTTTTCGATGGGCCACCCTGTATATATAGTGGTACTAATGTTTTATTTTATAATTGATTAATAATTTGATGTAGGATGTTTTAAAACTATTATAATCTTATTAAGATCTATTTGTATCTTATACAGGGTGTTTCAAAAAACATGTGCCATCTCTCGTGGTGAGATTCCTCACGTAAAAATAAGATTTATTTTTCATATCAACATAGGTCCGATTCTGCATTGTTTCGTAGCTACAGGGTATTAAAGTCTTAATAATCTTTCGATTTATTATAATTTTCTTTCAAGTACTTTTAGTGATTCGAATGAAATTTTGAGAGTAAAACTTTCTTGGGCATACGAAGCTTTGGGACTTAAGCTGTACATCGATAAAACTAAAATCATGTGCACTCCCCTGGAAGATCACAACAATGCTATAAAAATCGGAGAAGAGCTATTGGAATATGTAGTGGAATTCAATTACCTCGGCAGTTTGATTTCGGAAAAGGCCAATATCGACTCAGCACAGGATTAGCAGCGCCTCAAGAGCATTCTGGAAATTAAAAGACAGGGTTTTCTACAATCATGACTTGAGCACAAAAACGAAACTTGCAGTGTACCGAGCAATAATAATTCCCACCATGTTATATGGAAGCGAAACCTAGGTACCGTACCGCCCACACATGAACGCTTAATGATTAAATAAATTGCAACAGAGACATCTTAGACAACTCTTAAGAATAAAATGGTTCCATCATGTCTCTAACGTATCGGTCCTTGAAAAAGCCAACTGCGAGACTATTGAAGTCATGATTACAAAGTCCCGCTTGAGATGGGCTGGTCACGTATGCAGAATGCAAGAAAACCGCATACAAAAATCTCTGCTTTACGGTGAGTTTGTAGACGGTAAGAGGAGGCCGGGTGGACAACTCAAAAGGTACAAGGATATTGTCCACGAAAACTTAAAGGGAATTAATAACCAGAATGAGTGGGAAGAAGCAGCTCACAATAGAACGGAATGAAGAAGAATTGTAAAGTTAGTTAACAGCGACAACCAAAAAGTAAAGAGGCAACAAAGCAATGAGATTTTTGAATGTCTGGAGTGCGGTAGACAGATAACATCTCGTATCGGGCTTTTCAGTCACAAAAAAGCTCATGAAAGAAAACGCCTTGCGTGACCATCTTCAGATGCGTGTCAAATACTCGTCAGCGAGTAATGGCAGTATGTATGTATGTATGTATCTTTTGATATCAAAATCGTGTAGGCCGTTTAATGCTAATTAAAAGTTATCTCTTGATATTTTGTCGAATTCCGTCTCCTTGATCAGATAAATGCAATTTTATTAATCACAATTATTAATAAAATTAAAATAAAAATAAAATTAATAAATTATATATTTTACCTAATTTATTATTAAGTATTATTACTATTAGTTATCATTACCATTAGTCCAAGTTGTTCTTAAGAATCCAATGGTTTTTAAGATAATTACAAAAAACGTAATTTTAAAAAGTTTTAACATCCGGTAACTTCTTCTTTCTCAGCCTGGTTCCATCCAGTGTTGGATATAGGCCTCTTCTAGGTTTTTCCATGCTTCGCGATCTCTAGCCAATCTTATCCATTGTCTTCCCGCCACTGCCCTGACGTCATCGACCCATCTCTTTTTTGGTCGGCCCACACTTCTTGTTCCTAGGTTCCCTTCCCCTAGGTCTCCATAGGATTATTTTTTGGGGCCATCGGTCTGGATCCTGTCTTGCCATATGTCCTATCCATTGCCACTTCAGACTTGCCACTCTTTTAACGACATCTATTAATTTTGTTTTTTGACGTATGTGGGTATTCCGTATTTTTTCCCTAATGGTGACTCCCAACATGATTCTTTCCATGGCTCTTTGTGCTACTCGTAGTTGTTCTGCTGTTTTTCGAGTAATTGCCATAGTCTCTAAGCCATACGTAAGCACAGGTAGAATGCAGCTGTCGTAAGCCTTTTTCTTTAGGTTCATGGGCACCTTTTTATCCTTTGAAAATATCGCTCATATTTCCAAATGCTACCCATGCCAAATGGATCCTGCGTTTGATCTCCGTATTTTGGTTTTCCTTGCCCAGCTTGATTTTATGACCTAAATATATATAATGGTCTACGTTTTCAATAATAACGTTGTCCACGGTAATGTTATGGATATTGTTGCTCATTATCTTGGTCTTCTTCAAGTTCATTTTAAGGCCAATTTTCTGGGATTGCTCATTTAGCTCATTTAGCATGGTGTTTAGTTCTTGAATGTCGGTGCTCAGCAAGACAATATCGTCTGAGAACCTCAGATGGCTAAGGTGTACCCCATCGATGTTTAGACCTCTATTTTCCCATTCTAATTTCTTGAAGACATTTTCCAGTGCCAGTGTAAATAACTTGGGAGAGATGGTATCTCCTTGTCTCACGCCCTTGCCGAGTAGTATTTTTTCTGTTTTGAGGTCATCATCTAATTTAACTTGGAAGGTTGCACTATCATAGATATTTTTAATAATGGAATAATATCTGGAATCAATTCTTGCGTCCTCCATTGCAGCTAGAAATGACCAGGTTTCGATGCTGTCAAAGGCTTTTTGGTAGTCTACAAAGGCCAAATGTAGAGGTATATTGTTTTCTGTTGTTTTTTCAATGACTGTTTTAATTATTTGTAGATGATCGATGGTACTAAAACCTTTTCGAAAGCCTGCCTGTTCTATTGGCTGATAGGAATCTAGTTTCGTAGATCCGGTAACTATAAAACTGTATTTCCATACCTATGTTTATAGGCACTTTTTTCATATTTTTTGATGAGGAATCAATGAGTACTTATTTAAAACTTTTGCAAGTTCAAGATGTTAATTTTTTTAAAGGTTGCTATTAGACTTGGATGAAGGCAAATTAATAAAATTGCGTTTACCTCATCAAGGAGGCCGAAATCGACAAAATATCAAGAGACAACTTTTAATCAGCATTAAACTGCTTACACTATTTCACTAACAAGTGAAAAAAAAAATAGTGGCTTACATGTTTTCTTTAGAAAAATACTCCAACGATAACCCATATGCACGTCCCTGGTAAACATGCCGACACTTTTTCGCTTTAAAATATGTTGCATTCATATTAACTTTTACCCTCAAAATTTCATTCGAAAGTACTCGGAAGAAAACTATAATAAATCGAAAAAATATTAAGACTTTAACACCCTGTAGCTACGAAACAAAGCAGAATCGGACCTATGTCGATATGAAAAATAAATCTTATATTTACGTGAGAAATCTCCCTACGAGAGATGGCACATGTTTTTTGAAACACCATGTATTTGGTATACGAATTCTTCTTATATCAATTTATTAGTAATATCAAATTCTTTTGTAGCTAGTGGTAACAGTGCTAGTACAAAGTTACTACTAGTTTTTTTGTTATCGGCGATTTCTTATATACCTATTTTTTAATCTTCGTCGAAATAGTAATGTTAAAATTATAAATAGTATTTTTATCGTGCATTGAAATGTTTCATTTGTTTTAGGTAAAAATGGAACTTCTACTCGGTGACATCCACACGAACTACCGCTTACGCCAGTACCATAAACCCACAAGCTTCCAAGTCCCTCTGATAAAGCAAATTAAAGAACCCGTCACAGTTTTCCTAAATCGACACTCTTACACGGTCAAGGACGCCCACGTTATACCCCAAAACCTCTTCACCAACCCACGAACGCCTCCACATTTACTGGAAAAACCTCATTTGCCACCTTACATCTGGGGGGAGTGGACTTCCACTAGATGCGAATCCAGACCGATGGGTCTCTACCTCACCAGAACCTTCTCTTTCTACTCAGAGGATCAGACTTGGATCGGAGAGCATAAGTTCTATTCAGATCCGTTCTGCAAGATTGAGAAATTCACTGTGACAGCAGCAGGTCGTTTTATGTTAGGTGATCAGAACAAAGAGTTAAAGAGCGCCACCAACATCGACTTCTCAATTGAGAGAGCCAGTTTAATGGTGATCGATGAGAAAATGATTTACGATATGAGACTTCCTGGGCTCTGTGGTTTGGATGAGTGGGAAGTAAACGTACCCAAAGAGCTTTCAACTACGGGAGGATGTCCTCAGCTGGGAATAACCCTTCCTTCTATCTTACATGATATATTAAAGATAGAAATGGATTATAAAGGAGCGATATTATTATTTTTAGGACAAGTTAAGACTGATATTTTTAATACTGCGTCGGATGGAAGTCTTAGGCCGTCGGCTTTTCAACTCCCTCTCATGAAATGCGGGGAAGTACCGGCGTATTCTCAAGGGCTTAGAGACTTTTTGGATGATCAATTTGGTAGTTTTAATACTGGTACGAACAGTAACAAAATTTCATTTATCTGGATGTGGTGCGTGGTTATTGCGCTGTATGAATATTTTAGGTAAAATTAAGAATATTTTATAGTTAACTAACTTATACTGTGATATTTTAAATTTAAGCAAGTATTGTAGGGATCCTTGAATATAAGTAATATTTTTTCAGATCTTGAATGATGTTGTGTAAAGTGTTGAATTCGGTACTATATTTTCCAGTACGCTTCTTAAATTTGTGAAGGAGATTGGACCAAATTCATCACCATTATCATTTTCAGCTTATTCAACCATTTCCAATTGTGGTGTAGCCTCCGTTATATATTTAGATACTCTCTTTGTAACTGGGCCCATTGGTTGCCTATTGTTGACTATGCGGGCCCAAGTTATATCTGCTAATTTCCTACTATTATGGTCCCATCACAGGTCTCAATAATTCCTCGTGGGTACCATGCTGTAATTTTTGTGGTCTATCTGTTAAACGTTCTTCTTGTCAAGTGTCCTGCCCATTCCCATTTGAAGAATTTGACTCTGTGGATGACATCTATTACCTGGGTCTTTTGTCGTATACATTTTTTAAGACCCACTTTATTGCTGGCTTTATTTAATTCATTAATTTGTGATTGTAATTCTTCAGGACTATTGACAATTAGGACTATGGCTTCAGCGAATCTTAGATGGTTAAGATATTCTCCATCTATTTTTAATCCTTTGTTGGTCCAGTTGACGGAAGATTTCTTCTAGGTGTTGCTGTAAACAGCTTTGGGGATATCGCGTCTTGCTGTCGTATTCCTTTACCAGTTGGGAACTCTGGGGTTGCTTTATATATCATTACTCTTGCTTTCGTTTCTTTGTATATATTGGCGAGAGTTTCTATATAAGGCCTGTTAATACCTTGTTTCATTAGGCTTTTATTATTGCCTTATGATATATATCGAGTCGAAAGCCTTCTCAAAGTCTATAAATGTTCTACTGTTCTACTGTATGTTCGGCTGATAGTTTCTCTTAGTGTATGTATGTGATCAATCGTCTAAAGCTTGCTTGTTCTCGCGGTTGTTCAGCGTCTAGCGTGTTTTGTATTCTGTTGTTTATTATTTTTGTAAATATCTTTTATGTTACTGGTAGTAGGCTTATTGGTCTATAGTTTCTGATGTCTTCTTTGCTGCCTTTCTTATCAATTAGAATTATGTTGCGCTATTTCAGTCTTGCAGTATATATTTTCTCCTTCCGGTATTATATGCAAGTTCTCCTACCAGTGCACTTAAGTATTTCAGCTGTTATTCCGTCGTTCCCTCGATTGGACCAAATTAACTCCAGATAAATGTACCGGGTGTCCCACTAAGAATAGCTCTCGGCTGTATCTCGGAAAGTATTAGCCGTAGGGCTTACGGAAAAAAATATTTATAACAAAAGGGGCCATGAGAAATTGCTGGAAATTATTTTCAAGTTTGTAAAACGGCCGCTAGGGGGCGCAACTGCTATGGAAAATAAAAAAATAGAATTTTTACAGAATTTTACCTAGATAATGGGTACTATAAATAATAGCTTCATAATCTTCAGTAAATTTTGGATTTTCTTTGTTAGAACCATTTTCCCCTATCTGCTAAAATAAAGTGGTGGGGGAAGGTTAGATCTATCTTTATATAAATGTTGATAACTCCGGACTGTATGATCAGAATCCAACAAACGAGGGCTCGTTTAAAAGAGCGTTTCTTACTTTATATTATACCATAAAAATAATAATAATAAGGTTTTGAACGTACACGCTAGGGGGCGCTTTCTTACAATTTAACAAACATAGCGCGTTTTTTTCAAAAAAAAATAAATACGAGAGTAAATGTACTTTTAGCTGCTAGTAAAGAGTAGTAAAAGCTTAAAAAGTCAGCGAAAACCGCATTTTGATATCTTCTTCCAAACCAAAGATATTAGCAAAATTATAATATATTCCAAAAAAAAGCCCTTAATTACCTTATTTTTACAATACGGTATCAGTAGCCCTCTTGATTCAAAATACCTTCATTATTTGAAGTCGTTGAAGTTGTTGGCATTTTGAAAAAGCAATCAGAAGATACAAAACGCTGCTAAGACTATCAAAATGTTGATCTAATAACAATTTGACGTTTATACGATTACGTGAAAAGCAACTTTTTTCCAAAGCCTACCATGACTACTGAATCATCGTTTCTCTCTTCTTCACTGTTATTAATATCTTAGTTATTACATATTAATACATCTGGTATTATGGTAGTCTGGTATTTCGTCTATTTTAAAATAAACTAACTGTTTCTATCTTATTTTTTTGTTGGAATGGGCATAATCAAGAGGGCTACTGATACCGTGTTGTAAAAATAAGGTAATTAAGGGCTTATTTTTTGGTATTTATTATAATTTTGCTAATATCTTCGGTTTGAAAGAAGATATCAAGATGCGGTTTTCGCTTATAAATATTTTTTTCAGCCGCCCCTACGGCTAATACATTTATATAATTTAAGAATACGGGACGAGACATTAAAGAAATAATAATAACCATGCTTTTTTTCTCATATCTCTATTTCACAACTATTTTCTCCAAACAGTCAGTCTTAATGTTTAAGTCTGTTTAAGGCTTAAGCCTTAAGGACATGAATGCAATTAAGATTAATTAAAGGATTAAATAATTAAGGATATAAATGCAATAATATACAGGGTGTACTATGTAAATACTATTCATGTTCTATCATTTAAATCACTATTTTAGAGATTAATTTCTTCGTTAAGGCATCAATTATATTCAAGGATGGTTAGGTTAGGAAGAAATCTATCTGGAAAACTCTTTTATATAAATGTACATGTTACACTAGGGTCGAAAAAACCAGTGATAAATAGTAAATATGCTCTCAGGAATAAGTAGTAGTATTATACGGGTATGTAATTTTTTATGATGTATGTTTCTGTATTATTCTGTTATAGTCTATAAAATGAATAACTTTGAATTTTGACCGTTATTTTTTACCAACATGGTAAATATAAAATTCCTCTGTCAAAAAAGTTACTGATATTCTTTAAATTGAGTACCTAAACGAATCAGATAGGTAACTCTTTTTACTTTCGTGAAATAGAAAAGGAAAATAATAAAACAAGTGACAGTTCTTCCTCTTCTTGCAAAAATCAACACGCAATGTCATAATTGTCAAAAGTAAAATGTCATCGGCTTTTGACATTTCTAAATATCAGACCAATGCCGTCTCTAATAGAACAGCCTCGGAGCGAGATTTATGACGTCACCCTAGTTAGATACTACGGATTAATAAATATGTTGTAGAATACATGGAAAACATAATTATTCCTCGTATTTTTGGTTTGTATTTTAAAAACGATATAGTTTACATGAAATATACATAATATACAGTTAATAAATACAATATATATACCTATTTATAGTAATAAATACTTTGGCAAATAAACTATGAACCATACAAATGAAGCAAATGTTTTACAATATACAAATAATGAATAGGTACATAAGATAATGGGTAAAATGTAAAATATATTTTAAATTTTGGGGTTTGAAAATCGATCTAATTTAAAAAAATCATTCAATATCTACTAATAGTGATGTATTATTATTTGCATTCACAAAATTTATATGTATATTTTGCAAGTACCAATGTTCGAAAAATATTATATTTGTAAATAATACAATATCATAGAAAAAAGGCGTCAGCGATGGCTATGAAATAAAGATCGTTGTCATTTTATATATTGGCTGTTCTATTAGAGACGGCATTGCGTCAGCATGGCCGCAAGTTGCTAACCTAATAAAATTAACACTAGAAAAGCCCGCGGGAACTGTCAAATTCAAAGTTATTCGTTTCACAGACTATATGTTTCTGTATTATGTATGTTTCTGTATTATTAAAATTATGCACACATGTTATTGCCCGAAAATTGTATTATTATACTACCGTGTTAACGGAAAGATCCTTATTTAATGTATCGAAAAAATTAAGTTCATTAAGTTCAAATAAAGCAATTTAATATGATATAACCGTCTAATTTACACTTGACACTATAATTCAATTTTTATTGCACACTTGAATCTCTTCTTCTTAAAGTGCCATACTCTATACAGAGCGTCGGCGCCGGCGACCTCTCGTATGTACTTGTTATGTGTAATCATCAAGTACACGGGAACTACAGTTTATCGCTAAATCCGAACGGTACCATTTGAGAGGCTGTACTAGGCAAATGTACTTAATGCGGTTTGCGCCGGCGCCGGCGGCTCGCTGGTCGCTCTGTTTAGATAAATAAACATTTTTATTTTAAATAAATAAAGCGATCGAACTGGATGGGGATCGAATCCAGTACCTCTCGCACCACATATCGACACACTACTGCTGGAGCTACGGCTGACCACTTGAATCTCAATTGTAGGCATTTTTCCTTAACATGGCAGTATAGGGTAATTTTTTTATGTTTGGTATATTTCAGTATCGGTATAAAATCTATTGTCGACAATTTTAATTTTTTCATAATTTGTTTTAATATGAGTCACATATTATGTTATTATCCGAAAATAAATTATAGTCTATGATCGATAATTTTAATTTTTTCATAATTTGTGTGAATATGACTTCAATATTATATGATTATACAAAAATATAAAAATAAAAAATTAGTAACATTTTTTATATGTTATATGAGTACACATATACAGGAATATTTACTGTAAGTGTTCTTTTAGACGTTTATAGAAAGTTACGAACGAATATGAGTTAACAATTTAAAATATTTTTGAACATGCGGTGTTAAATGGAATGCCCTGTGAATATAGGATCATGCAAAGCCTTTGGTTGTATGATTTTGGTTCTATGGTATCTATCAAAAAATTGAAAATTGTTATTTTCCAAAAGTCAATATTTTAACCGCGCTTGCAGATGGACCTATGGTATGTTGTACCAAACTTGTCGAGTAGTCTAATTGAAAGTATAATCTGAAATTTACAAAATTGTTACTTATATGTCCAAATCGGTCTATATAATAATCTTATCGATGTTTGTAAATTACTTTTGTGATGTGTATATAGTCCCATGGTAATATAAATAACATTCTTCATAAGTCTTTTGTAAATATATAATAGGAATTTTTGAACATGCGGTGTTAAATGGAATGCCCTGTGAATATAGGATCATGCAAAGCCTTTGGTTGTATGATTTTGGTTCTATGGTATCTATCAAAAAATTGAAAATTGTTATTTTCCAAAAGTCAATATTTTAACCGCGCTTGCAGATGGACCTATGGTATGTTGTACCAAACTTGTCGAGTAGTCTAATTGAAAGTATAATCTGAAATTTACAAAATTGTTACTTATATGTCCAAATCGGTCTATATAATAATCTTATCGATGTTTGTAAATTACTTTTGTGATGTGTATATAGTCCCATGGTAATATAAATAACATTCTTCATAAGTCTTTTGTAAATATATAATAGGAATTTTTTTATTTTATATAATTTCTCTAAGTCTCTAATATAGAATTTGTAAATATTCTATATACATTCTACATTGTAAAATGTATATTTAATTGTATTATTAATGAACAAAATAATAAAATAAATTTAAATATAAATAATGTTGGGAGTATTTTATTCAAAATGTTTAGTAGTTGGAATATACCGTATGATGCCTGAGATTTCCCAAATAATTTTACATATAAAAGACGATATTTATTTCATATCCATCGCTGACGCCGTTTTTTTTGGTCATATTGTATTTATAATACTGTTTAAAAATTATTTTTATACATTTATATTCAGTTCAACTGACTATTTAAGACTATAACTTAGAGGTAGCTATTAGTGGCAAAAAGACGACTATTTTTTAATTATCTATGGTCGATATAATTATTTCATAATTTGTGGGAATATGATACCCACAATGTTATTAACCGAAAATTTAAAAATAAAAATCAGTAACAAAGTTTTCATCTGTTATACGAGTACAGACATACAGGGTTATTTATTCTAAGTGTCCCATTAGACGTTTATGGAGAATTACTCATGGTGAAAATCTGAAATTTTTCTTGCTAAACGAATCTATCTATATAAAATATTTTTGATTATGCGGTGTTAAATGAAATGTCCTGTGAAAATAGGATTATGAAAACCGTTTTGTTCTGTGGTATATATTTGGGATTCGGCAGCATGTCAAAGGGAAAATTGTCATTTTTAGAATGTCAGTTTGTCGGAAGCGGTATACAGACATAGGTTATGTCATCCATACTTGTCTAGGATTCAAAGTAAGGTCCGAAATTTATAAAATTACTGTGCCTGTTTCTCATCTGTTCTACTCAAATCGATTTATAATATGTCCCCGGATTGTTTTTACAAGAGGAAGAACTTTCTTATTATTGATATTTTGAGAAAAATGCATTCTTCATAAAAAATTTTGCTGTTCTAAAATGGTTAATCCCATTTATACTTTTCCAAATTTCCATACCGTTTTAGAGAAAATTAAAAAAATCCTGAAAATATGATTGAATTTTTTCTAAAGTTCTAAAAATCAAAAAGCGTTTCTATTGGAATATAATTTCAATTTCATTCTTTGATAGATAGTTATTATCATTGCCTAGAAACTCATGGTGAAACTTTGACAAAATAATTTCCTAACTAAGAACACGGTATGTCGCTAGTGGTAGGAAAAATAATTACTTAGAGGTTACTAGTTTATTTGGCTGCCTAAAAAATACATATAATGCCCTTTAAATGTATTTGACATAATTGTTAACTTGCAATGAGAAATAGTAAAAGAAAATTATTAAGTTTAGACCCGAATGCCGAGAAAATACTGGTTTGTTTTTGAATTGAAAACAGAATTGACATTTATGGATATACAAACGCCTTCAACATCAAAAGGTAAAGTTTTAAAATTGTTTTATTACACTCTCATGAATATTTTTCATATTAGAATTGTTTACTGTAAAATTACTGCGTTTATAAAATAAGTCAATGTAATTTTGCAGTTACATACTAGCCAAACAAACATTACACATATAAAGACATATAATATCGTTCCAAATATTTATGGATCGATGCGAAGTGGACAGGCATCAGCTAGTTTTTATATATTTCTGTTAACTATACATATGTAAGTTTTATCAAAAATATTGTGATTTAATTACCAGCTGGTAGACAAGGTCTGTGGTATTTTATAAAAGTTTTTACGCTCTGCGGACAGAAACCTTTTAATGGCTGATTTGGTGCAAGACTTTTCCGAGAGAGGGCTTTAATGGTCTTTTCGTAACCTAGTCGAGAGATGTCGCTTGTTGTTTCGTTTATTACTTGTAAGTTTATACGGGTATGCAATTTGTTATGTTGTATATTTCTGTATTGGTATAAAATCGACGATGTATAATAATTTTAAGAATTTTATAATGTGTCTGAAAATGATGCACAGATGTTATTGCCCGCAAATTGATTTATTATAGGGGTATGTAAGTTTTTATGTTGTATTTTTCTCCTTTAGATATCAGTATAAAATCTTTAGTCGATAATTTTAGTTCAGAATTTGTGTGAATATGATTAACATATTATGATATTATCCGAAAATATTAAAATAAAAAACCATTAACACTTTTTATATGTTATACGAGTACAAGTAAGCAAGTACTGTAAGTGTTCTATTCTTGGCTTCGATAGTCGTTTCGTAACGTCATCGAGAGATGCCGCTTATCTTTTCGTTTAATACTTATAAGTTTAGTACCATTGCCTGGAAACTTATATGGTGAAATTTTGATAAAATAATTTAGTACTTACTAAAAACACGGTATGTCGCTAGTGGTAGGAAACATATTTTTTAGAGGTTACTAATTTATTTGGTTGCCTGTGATATGCATATACTGGGTGTTTCCTAATTAATCTAAAAAATAAAAAATCGTTAGTAAACGGCATAAGGCGGGCTTTTAATAAGTATATTTATTTTTTTCTCAGCAACCGTTTGATGAACAAGAAAAAC